TCTAAGGCCACTTAGGAGATTATCTTGAGAAAATTGTCCTGTGAGTGATTTGTGGGCCTGGTGGGGTGGCTGCCCTTGAGTGCTTCCTGTGACTTGGAAATATTTGGTGACAACTCCTTCATTAGTGGGCCAGCCGATAAGCCTGTCTTTGTGCCTGCCTACCTCTGGGCACCACCCTAGGTCCCAGGATGTGGACAAAGGAAAGAGACCAGAGCTGACAAGCACCAGCCAAAAGAAAGCAGTCCCTAAAGCCTTCCATGGGTACAGAGGTCAGCTCTGAGGTCAGAAAACTTATGGTCAAATTCTGGCTTTGGTATTTATGAGCTGTGTGACTCCCAGCAAGGCACACAACTTCTCTGTTCTCAGCCCACACAAAGAGGCAATAAGGGCCCCTGCCTGAGGGTTCTCCCTACAAGGGACTACCTCATCTTATCTCTCTGTTGGGTGCCAGAGATCTGCTGCAGGACTGAGTCAGAGTGACAACCCTGATCCAGGAGAATGGTGGCTCCTGTTACAAGCATGGTCACAGAAATGCAGCCACTAAGCAGTTTAGTCCCTTGAGGCTGCCCTGCTGGCAAAAGAAAAGGTGGATTCGAACCCAGGACATCTCCCTTCATCACTCCCACATTTCCTATTCCCTTCCTGCTGGACCTCAGCCTCAGGCTCGCTGGGCAAGCTCTGACTGGACTCCCTGAGTCCACCTGGCATGTCTAGCAGAGAGCAGGCTCCCGTCTCCCTGTTCACAGAGCCCAGACCGGGTGAGTGAGCACACTGAGGCTAAATGGCTTCCAGATTTTCTTCCTGACTCCAATGGTGACTGAGACTCATTCTGTTTAAGAGAGCGCCACTTTGTAATCTGCTGTGATTGGAGAATCAGCTCGAAGGGGAAAGGGGAGTTTCAGGAAATGGAGTCCTTGAAGCTAACTACCTTTGTTTAAAAACAAGACAAGCAAAACTGTTTCTGGAAGAACAGGCCTCTCTGGATCAGCTGCGCCTTGGTAGCCTGGGGGGGGCGGGGCCAGAGTTGACAGCCCACCACTCCCAGGGGTCACCAGCACCCCTCCACCTGACCTCTTGCTTTCCTTGGGACAGAGGGACTATAACTTCTTGTCTCTGTCTTCAGTGGCCTCCAGGCTCTTCCCCCACAATGCCACTATCTCCTGTGACCCCTTAGCATGATATCTTGGGGACTGGAGCTTTCTAACACACCCCTGCCTCTCCTTACTGAGGAGGACCCTTTCCTGCGGACTCTACAACCCAGAAATAGTCCCCACCATCCTATGCTCTCAGGGTTTAGAACCACAACTGGGCCCTATTTATAGCACACCACACACCTGAGAGGAGACGTTAGCGCACTGGTCTGCGTTGTGGGGGTGGCTCCTGCTGGAGGCAGCTGTACTTGACATACAGACCTCCTCCAGGGGACAAGAGTATGTCTGGGAGCCCTCAGGTGTGGGGTCAGTGGACAGAGACAGGGTCAGCTGGACAAAGAGGCTCATGCATCCAGCGAGCTTGGTCCTCTTTGCCTGGTAATTAGGCTCCTGGTGCTGATTCTGACCATGAGTAAAGGAGCCATGCCTGATGGGAAAGAGGCCAGACTCGTGTTTGCATAAGTGGGTGGGGTCGTGACACCAGTCCCTACTGGTTACCTGCAGATCCCCTTAGTAGAGTCCTGCTTGGTTTGGCCCAGGACTAGTTACAAAATGTGTGTTGGCTGGGTGTGGTGTTATGTGCCTTGAATCCCAGAACCCAGCCAGCCGAAGCAGGTAGATCTCTATGATTTTGAAGCTAGCCTGGTCTACATAGGGAGCTCCACCCAACAGAGACCCTGTCTCAAAAAGACAGAGTCAGTATTTGGAAAACATCGAGAAGTGTTTCCCACATGATTAGAATTTCTGGCTTCCCTTCTTTATTTTTGTTTTGGTTTATTTGTGGAACTGTGGATAGTATCCAGGGCCACTTGTCTGTTTAGCCAGGCCAGGATGTTGTACCGCAGAGCCACGCCCCTCCCCCTCAGGGGCTCCTTCACTCATTTCTGTCACTGCCCAGCTGTGGAGGCTTCCGGTGGCGGCAGCTCCAGACAGAGCCAGCACCAGGCCCCTAGTGGGGAGCAGCCCTCCACATGGCAGAGCTCCTGGAGGCAGGGGCTGACGACAAATTAGGCTTGGCTTCCAACCCACGCCAAGCAATGTTAGAATGAGCATGGCTCCTGACTGCAGTTCCTCAGGGTCGGGCCAGAAGAGTCTCTCTCTATCCACTGTGTTTATCACTGTGCTTGGTTCCAAAGAGGGTTTTTTTTTCTATTTTTTATTTTTTTAATAAGTGGGTCAGGCGGCGATGGCACATACCTTTAATCCTAGCACTCAGGAGACAGAGGCAGGCAGATCTCTGTGAATTCGAGGCCAGCCTGGTCTACAAAGCAAGTTCCAAGACAGCCAGGATTGATAAACAGATAATTTCAACCTGTCTTGAAATTGTCAATATCAATATCAATAACAATAACAGATTTTGATATCTGTTAATAACAATATAAATATCAATAACAGATATTGATAATTTCAACCCTGTCTTGAAAATACAGAGCAAAGAAAAGAAAGAAGAAAGAGTATACTTACCGGCCAGGTGTGGTAATCACAGGTGGATGTCTGTGATTTCAGGGCAACCCTAGTCTGCAGCAAGTTCCAGGGCTACAGAGTGAGACCTTATCTTTAAAAAAAAAATTACATTTGTTTGGGGGAGGAGGGTCTGGGAATTGAACTCAAGACATCAGGCTTGGCTGCAAATGTCTTGTGTTCTCTGAGCCGTTTTGCTGTCCCCTTTAAAGAAATTAGTTAGTTAGGGACTGGAGAAATGGCTCAGTGGTTAAGATCACTTGCTGCTCTTGTAGGGGACTCAAGCTCACGTGGTGACTCACAACCATCTGTTAATCCCAGTTCCAGGGGATCCCACTGTCTTCTGCTCTCCTGCTGTTACCACAGACATATAACGCTGTATAACACTGAGTGCCCTGAAAATCTGTAGACCAGGCTAGCCTCAAACTTACAGAGATCCACCTGCTTCCTGGGTACTGGGATTAAAGGCATGTGCCACTACACACAGCAAATAAATCTTTTGAGAATTTATTCAATTTCTGCGTGATATGTATTTAGGTATACCCAGCCATGCGGGCATATGTGGAGGTTAGAGGTTGGCATTGATCTTTTCTCCAGTCATCCTCCTTTTGATGTTTTTGAGGCAAGTTTTCTCATTGAACATGGAGATCACCGGTTTCGACTAGACAAACTAGTCAGCGAGCCCCAGGAGATCCTCCTGTCCAGATCCCAGCACCGGGGTTAACTTGTGTACAGCATAGTGCCAGCTTCTTCCGTAGGTTCTGGTGATCTGAACCGAGGTCCTGGCTTGTGAGGCAGGTACTTCCCCATGGAGCCTCCTCCTCGAGCCCCAAGAACTTCTACAACCCGCTTCCTCTCCAGTTGCTTGGGACGTGTCTCCCAGTTTTGTTTACAAGCACAGACTTGAAGGCCGCGACTCCGGCCTACCCTGGACTCTTACCCTCTGCTTTAACTGTGTGACCTTGGACAAGATGCATCGTCTCTCTGAACTGCCGGCTCAGCAGCAGCACGCTGCACAGGGCTAGGGCATCATTACCATTCCTTCAAAGTATTTACGTATTCTGTCTCTTCTGAAAGGTGTGTGGGGAGGACTCCGGAGGTGGCGTCACCAGGCCGCGGTAGGTGGGGGTCAAGCTTGTTGCCAGCTACTGCTATTTTAAGCGAGGTTAAGGAGCTTTGGGAAAGGGGGGGGGTCTGCAAAGATCTGGGCATCTCGTTCCTAATTCTTTGCCTCCAGAAAAAAATAAAAAGAAGAAGAAGAAGAAGGGGTTTATCTCCCTGGAAACCATTGCCGATGGCAGGACGCGCTGTCTTTGCGGGCGAGGGAGGTGGAGGCGGCTCCTGGCTTTGGAAGAGTTTTGCAGACTGACTGACACAGTGCAGAGGTCTGAGTTCACAGCCCCTCTTCAGGCCTTTGCTGGAGTTTTCTGGGGAAGCCATGTTGGAGGTGACTTAGCAACCCGTAGGAATGGGCCGGTGGCCAGAAGGGAGAGCCACAGGCCTGCCCTCCCTCCTCCTCCTCCTCCCTCCTCCTCCTCCCTCCTCCTCCCCCGCCCCTCCTCTGCTTCCTGGGCAGCCATCTTGATCTACTCCTTCCCCCGAGATGGTGTCTATCCCACCAAGGAGCCTGGATCCAGCCACAAGGTGGCACTCTCGGGCGCGGATGCTGGTAGTGGAGCAGCGGGGAGCCTGAGACTATATTTAACTCTCCTCAAGCTTGCCCTGCAAACATGGAGGCCGCCAGGAAATGGTTTCAGGCCTGTGAGGCCCCAGAGAGGCCTCTTGCCCAGGCAGAAGCATTCGGCCTGTTTCCATCAAGTTCCCGTCCCATTCCCCTGGGCTTTCTCCGCCTGAGGAAGAACCTGTAAGGTTCCCCATGACCGTAGCCAGCCAGGTATAGGCTCCCTAAGAGTAATCAGAATTTTCTAGGAGGTCCTAAGTTTATGAAAGGGAAACCAGGAAATCCTGTTGTGAAGCTTCCAATCTGTGGCTGTCCCCAGTAGATAAGACCCAGGAAGGGGAAAATAGTGATGGGTTGGCCTTTGTGGACCGTGACTGGAGGGAGGGGTCTCAGAGATCCAAACTAGTAATAGCCATGTGGGCATATGTTAACTGAGCACCTGCCCTGTGACAAACAGCACGATTTCCTTGAACAGTGTCGTCCCTGGGCACAGAAGTGATTTAGGAGAGTAAGGGGACCTGTGAGGATGTTACTATTAGAGCCACTGTTTCCCTTTAGAAGTGGGTCCAGGGGAGAGCCAGTTCCCATAGAAGGTTCTGACAGCTTGGCTAAGCCATGGGCTGAGCAGGCCAGAGGCATTGGGGGATAAAAAGATTCTACCCATCCTTGTTTCCATGGAATCAAGGACCAAGTGAGGCCCAGCGCCGTCTGTGAGCAGATTCATGACAGACCCAGGGCCTTGGATGGATCTGCCTGAGGGAAGACCAGACAGGTGTGACGCTGGTCTACAAGGAAGGCTAATGTGGGTGAAGCACCATCTTGGAGCTGAAGTTTGAGGTGAGGAGAGCAGGGCCAGGCAGGTGATGGTAAAACTGGTATTTGAAGGAGGTGAATTCAGATCAACCTTGAGTGAGAGAACAGGAAGCCAGAGCTGGGGTCCCCTACGGTGGCTGCAAGGGGCCAGACCGCAGTGAAGGCAGAATTGGAAGATGGTATGGACTCAGGACCAGGAAAGTCCCAGTGTGGCTGTGGGTACCTTCCGTGACAGAAGGCTATTGCCTAGGGGTGGAGTGTGGCTCAGTTGATAGAGTGCTTGTCCAGCAGGCAGAAAGGCCTGGGTCCAATCCCACTGAGGCAACACCATCCTGTCATCCCAGAACCTCGAAGGGGAGCAGGCAGGGTCAGAAGTTCAAGCTCATCCCCTCCCATAGATTCCAGCCCAGACTGGGCTACATGAAACCTTGTCTTAAAAAGAGACAGTAGCCACAGGCAGACACACTGCCGTGCAGTGAAATGCCTGAGGTCGCAAGGCCTCCAGCTCTCTGGGACTCGGCCAACTGTGCTGGGCACTCAGTGCTCCAGTAGCCTCAGGCCCACCTTGTGCCCAAAGTAGCCTCCTCCTTCAAGACATAAATGGAGAAAATGTCCTTGTTGGCCTCCAGCCAGGGGCTACATTTGGCTCTCCTTACTGGGGGCCCAGTCATGCTGGACAGCCAGCTCTCTCTGATGACCTCAGCACCCTCCACCCAGACTTCTGGGCTCCAGGGAGGTAGGAGAAGAGGCTGTGGAGGGGGTCTGCTGGTTCAGGAGATGTCTAAATTCCTTTTGGACACTCAGGTGCTTGTCACAGGCAAGGAGAGGGGACAGGGTGCGAGCAAAGAGCAGGTCCCTTTCTTTTCTTTTTTTTTTTTTTTTTTTTTTGGTTTTTCAAGATAGAGTTTCTCTGTATAGCCCTGGCTGTCCTGGAACTCACTCTGTAGACCAGGCTGGCCTCGAACTCAGAAATCCACCTGCCTCTGCCTCCCAAGTGCTGGGATTAAAGGTGTGCGCCACCACTGCCCAGGTCCCTTTCTTTTTTTAAGACTCCTCTACAAAGAGAGTGTTCTGGACTCAGTGTTGGGGAGGCAACAGGGAGCAGTAGGAAGTGTGGTTAACCAGAGGGCAGATGTCCCAGCTCTAGCTGTGTGCTATGAGGCAGTTCTTTCAGGTTTTCACCAGAAACTAAAAACCCAAGCTCAAAGGGAGGCATCTGAATTTGAGATGTTGACCCCATGGTGCTTCTGATCTGTGAAGTCCACACACAGCTCAGACCTGATGGCTCCTCTGTCAGCAGGGTCAGAGTCGCCCCACCTGGAATTTTCCATCCCCCACTAACTCTGCGACTTTGAACCAGCTCATCTGCCTTTGTTTTGTTTAACCGCCAACAAGATGGAAGACTCAGTGGTTAGGAGTATAATCCTGGCATTCAAGGTTTGAGGTCAGAACGATTGTCTAGTTAAAGGCCAGCCAGGGATTATCTAGCAAGACTCTCTGTCACAAAAGCCAGGGTGGAGGTCAGTAATTTCATCACTTAGGAGGTTCAAAAGTATCAGGAGGGCTGGAGAGATGGCTCAGGGGTTAAGAGCACTGTCTGCTCTTCCAGAGGTCCTGAGTTCAATTCCCAGCAACCACATGGTGGCTTATGACCATCTGTAACAGGGACCCAATACCCTGTTCTCGTGTTTCTGAAGACAGCTATAGTGTACACGTATATCTAAAATAGATAAATATTTCTTAGTAAAAGGGTCAGGAGTTCAAGGCCAGTCAGCCTTGGCTACATGGAGTTTAAGGATAACCTGGGATATATGAGATGCTGTTTCCAAAAACCCATAAGAACATGGATCAACCTTTTCCTTCCATCCATCCATCCTTCCTTCCTTCCCCCCTCTTTCCCCCTCTCTTTCTTTCTTTCTTTCTTTCTTTCTTTCTTTCTTTCTTTCTTTCTTTCTTTCTTTCTGTCTGTCTGTCTGTCTGTCTCCGTCTCTCTCTTTTTAAAGTTTAAACATTTTCATTCACTAGTTTGTTTGGGGGTGAGGGGGACAGAAGACACAAGCCAGTGCGACAACCCGAGGACAGCTCTCGGTGTTCAGTTCTGTCTTCCCACCTAGAAAGATTCTAGCTTACATTATTCTGGTTGGCTTAGAAGTTACTGTTAGGCCAGGCTGACCTAGGTCATACTCAGTCCTACCTTTTGGCTTAAGTAATGAGATTGCAGGTGCGTCCCACCATACCAGGCTGTTCCAAATATTTGTGGCTCACAAATGGTTCACCACTTTTCCCTTAAACCCTTTTATTTTATTATATTTGTGAGCACAAATGTGTGCACGCATACATGCTCTCCCACACGCATGTGCCATAACTCCGGCTTAGAGGTCAGAGGATGTTATGAGGGAGGCTGTTTTCTCCTACCAAGGATTGAACTTATGTCCTCAGGCTTGGCGGCAAGCCTCACCCCTGCTATACCATCCCCCCAGCCCAGAAGGGCTTCACCTTGGTGGTGTGCAGTGGGTGTAAAAGGTACTCTTTGGTCCTACAGCCATGGCCGCCGCCATTGCTGCAGCCGGGGCTGGGGAGCCTCTGTCCCCCGAAGAGTTGCTCCTGAAAGCAGAGGCAGAGAAAGCAGAGGAGGAGCTGGAAGACGACGACGATGACGAGCTAGATGAGACCCTATCGGAGAGACTCTGGGGTCTGCCGGAGATGTTTCCCGAGAGGGTCCGGTCAGCCGCCAGAGCCACCTTTGATCTCTCGCTCTTCGTGGCTCAGAAGATGTACAGATTTTCCAGGGCAGCTTTGTGGATTGGGACCACTTCCTTCATGATCCTGGTTCTTCCTGTTGTCTTTGAGACAGAAAAGTTGCAAATGGAGCAACAACAGCAACTGCAGCAACGGCAGATACTTTTAGGGCCTAACACAGGGCTGTCAGGAGGAATGCCAGGGGCTCTACCTCCACTTCCCGGAAAGATCTAGATTCTTACGTCCATATTTGTCCTTGTGTGAGAACTCTGAAATTCATTTGTGTTTGAACTGCTAAAAAAAAAAAAAAAAAAAAGAGGTACTCTTTATAGTCTATACCATTTGCTGAAACATTTTCTCATTCGGGTTGTCCCATGTTTAGCCATCTTTTGGGGGCACAGAACCCAAAGTCTCACCCGTGCACACCAGCCCAGCCCTCCTTGACAGGCCCTTCTCATGGTCTGCTGCTACAAGACACCCCAGGTCCCCCTGAGAGTCCCTGTTCCAATCCTTTTTTTTTTTCTTGTTTTTTTTTTTGTTGTTGTTGTTTTTCAAGACAGGGTTTCTCTGTGTAGCCCTGGCTGTCCTGGAACTCACTCTGTAGACCAGGCTGGCCTCGAACTCAGAAATCTGCCTGCCTCTGCCTCCCAAATGCTGGGATTAAAGGCGTGTGCCACCACCGCCCAGCACCCTGTCCCAATCCTAAACCTAACCTTTTCTTGGTGGACTCACTTTTTTCTCTAAACAGGATTTTTTTTTTTCTGTGTAGCCCTGGCTGTCCTGGAATTCTCTTTGTAGACCAGGCTGGCCTAGAACTCAGAGATCTGCCTGCTTCTGCCTCCTGCATGCTGGGACTAAAGGCGTGCGCCACCACTCCTAAGTAGAGTCACACTTGAACTTCAAAGCTGGAAGTAAGTAAAAACCATAGAAGCCCCACGTAGCTTGGTAAGGTACACCCCTAACTTTCAGGCCCACAGACTCCTGGTTCATCCTCTCCAGTCTGACTGAACAAATCACTGATGTCTGTCCCCATTTCACAGATGAGGATATTAAGTCCTTAGTACTCTGGGACTAGCCTAGGGTCCTGGTGAAATGGGAGCAGATCCAGAAGCCAGGTGGACAGACACCCTCCAATTTAATACGATGCCTTGTGGGACCAAGATACAAGAGGCCTTGGGGGGAGGGGCTTGGAGCCAGGTGTAGGAGATGGTGGTGCCCTGACAGGGATTGGTGGGGCGGCAAACATGGGGAGCCACTCGGAGGTGGGTCAGACATAAATCAACGGGGTGAGTGTCACAGAGCGCTGGAGAGAGAAAGATGCAGGCTTTGCTGGCGGATGTTGTCCTGTGGTGGTGAGAACTGATTGCCTATGAATGAGCCTCATATATTTAGGTGGAAGGAGAAAGACTTGTCATCTCAGCTTCTGAGGAGCCTGAGGCAGGAGGACCACAAATTCAAGGCAGCCTGAGCAACCTGCCAAGATCCTGTCTAAAAACAAGGTCGGGACAGGAAGATGGCTCAGCAGGTAAAATGCTCGCTGTGCTCACATGAGAGCCTGAGTTTAGGTCGCCAGCATCCACATAAAACCTGAGCCCGGCACCCTATGCCCAGACTTCTAGAACAGAGGGGCCTGGGAGTTTGCTGACGAGGTGGCCTGGCTGAACCACTGAGTTCCAGGTTCAGTGAGAGGCCCTGTCTCAAGATATAAGGTAGAGGACCAGCCAGGCATTCTGGCAGTGAGCACAGGTGTACCTTCAATCCCGGAACTCAGACTCGGGAGGCAGAGGCAAGATCTCTGTGGGTTCTGGGCCAGCTAGGTCTGCACGTGACACAAAAAATAAGGTGGACGAACATATACACACACATATACACACACACACATACACGCACACACATACACACACAAACACACATACACACACAAACACACATACACACACACACATACACACACACACATACACACACATACACACACACATACACACACACGCACACGCACACCCCGCGGCAGCCATTTGCTCCTTACGTGCTCTTTGCTGTTCTTGTTTTCTATTATTGAACTTCATTCCTGCATCTGGCTCTTGCCGTGCTTGCTTCACCTTGCTTGTATGCTCAGGATTTAGGAATTTCTCTATCTTCCCCAGTTTACTGTAACAAATCCTTCACTGTTCTTTATCCCTCCTCTTCCTACTTCTTAATTATAACCTCACCTAAATTTGGTTTTTTGTTTGTTTTTGTTTGTTTGAGACAAGGTTTGTCTGTGTAGCCCTGGCTGTCCTGGAACTCACAGAGATCTGCCTCTGCCTCTTAAGTGCTGGGATTAAAGGCGTGCACCACTACCTCCTGGCTTTATTTTTTTTTTTTAAGTCTTTGCTTCTGTTTATGTGTACAGATGTGCATCTGTGTGTGTGTGTGCGCCGTGTGCACCGTGTGTACTGTGTGTACTGTGTGTACACTGTGTACCGTGTGCAGTGCCCATGGAGGCCAGAAGAAGGAATCAGATCCTCTTGAACTGGAGTTACAGTTGTAAGCCACTGTGTGGGTGCTGGGAATTGAACTTGAGACCTCTGGAAGAACAGTCAGTGCTCTTAGCTACCTCTCCAGCCCTATCTTGCTTGTTTATCTACAGCGGTTATTGATGTCAGAGGGGCCTGTGGCCTTAATTGGCTCCTATAATGGCTATGCAGCACTGTCCAGAGGCCGTGGTGGTTGTCACTGTTAATATTCTACTCCGGGGTGAGACAGGGTTTACACCAGGCACCCTGAGCACAAAAGTACATACTGCCACTTCACATTCCACACGAACGCTGCAAATTCCTTAACGGAAGGAATATTATTGATTAAAAAATAAACCAGGCAGCTGGACAGTGGTGGTGCACACCTTTGAGGCCAGCACTCAGGAGGCAGAAGCAGGCAGATCTCTGTGAGTTGAGGATAGCCTGGTCTACAGAGCAAGTTCCAGGACAGCCAGGGCTACAAAGAAACCCTGTCTTGAAAAAGAAAAGAGGAAAAGAAACTCCAAAAACCAAGAGAACATAATTCTTGCAAAAGGTACTAACCCTTCAGTAACGGCATCAAGTGAGAGTAAGTTAGACGAGTCCTAGACAAAGAAAGTAACGATTCTAATTACGTTCAGTGACACAAACGGCTGAAGGGACTAGGAAACCGGCAGAGAACACGAGGGAATGAGGAGATGGGAATGTCAAGAAGACCCTGTGATGTGCTGGAAATAAAAACTGCAACAAGTCCAGTAGAAACAAAGCAAACAAAACAGCCCCGGGAAGTCTCGGGCACAGGGAGGCTCCCTGAGATCTACCTTCCGTGAACAAGAGAGGGTGTCTGAGCTTAAAGACGAGGTGGAGAATCTCTTGAGTTACATGTTTGTAAGGAGATTCTCATCCTTAAAGCATTTAGACATTTGTAAGAGACATTTGCTAAAGAATCATAACAGGTAGCCGGGCGGTGGTGGCACACGCCTTTAATCCCAGCACTTGGGAGGCAGAGACAGGTGGATTTCTGAGTTCGAGGCCAGCCTGGTCTACAGAGTGAGTTCCAGGACAGCCAGGACTACACAAAGAAACCCTGTCTCCAAAAAACCAAAAAACCAAAAAAAAAAAAAAAAAAGAATCATAACAGGAAATTCCCCAAAGTTAGGAAAACCCAGGTACAGGAGGCATTTAGGACACCAGGCAAGAAGTAAAAAGCTCCTCCTCCTAGGATGATTGGAACAACACCCAATTCCAAAGGAGTGAAACTAAGGGGCTGGAGAGGTGGCTCAGTAACCTGGTTAAGCATACTGGCTGCTCTTTTAGAGGACCTGGGTTCAATTCCCAGCAACCACATGGTGGCTCACAACCATCTGTAATTCCTGTTCCAGGGGATCCTGAAGTGGAAGTTTCTGGTTATGTCCTGTGATGCAGAGGACATCACATGCTGTCTTGCTGAGGCAAACTCACGTGGTGTTTTGCTGAGGTAAGACCTGTAGGAAGACACGTGATGTTTGGAGAGAGTATACACAGGACCCAGTGGACAGTGACTGGGTACTCGCACAGCTAGCCTTGCAATGTTTCATTGGCCTTGCGTCTTCTCTGATCTGCACGTCATTGAGAGAGGCACAGCAGAGAACTTCTCCTGGAGTCCTGACTAGTTCTGGTGGCTTCTGCTGACTCACGCCAATTCCCTGGAGGCCTGGCTGTTTCTGCTGGATTGTGCCCCCACTGCTGATTCGTGTTTGGTGTCCTGACACTACTGAACTGGACTGCTATAACAGTTTGTATCCTGACAAACGGAGATTGCAATCGCCCCAAAGAACTACTCCTAAACAGGTCCCCACATCCCCTTGTCCTATTTACCATCTTTTCTCTCCTACCTTTGGACGGCGGGCTGGAAGAGGGAGGCAGGTCAAAGAGTTTGAGAACCCTTAATAAAGTAGGTTTTAAAAACCCTAATCCTACAGGATCCAATGCTCCTTTCTCATCTCCACAGGCAATCAACACAGAAGTGCTACACAGACATGCCAGCAAAACATCCCGTGCATGTAAAATACAGGAAATAAAATAAGAAAATAAGAATGCAACAGACTTACAGAGGAAGCAAGCTAAGCAATGCTCCAGGCTACAGAGGATAACAACAGTCAAGACTGACAGTGGGGGATGGGAGGTAGGGTGAAGGCAGGGGGCTGGGGAGATGTCTCAGTGGTTAATAACACTGGCTGCTCTTCCAGAGGACCCAGGTTCAATTCTCGACGCCCACCCACCCACCCACATAGCAGCTTACAACTATTTGCAGAGGATCCAACACCCTCAAACATGCAGGCAAAATACCAATGCACATAAAAATTTAAAAATTAAGTTAAAAAAAAATCATTGGTAGTGGGTCTCCTGAGTAAGCGTTCCCAAAGGTCCCAGATATGGCCTGAAACGTCTTTTTGTGTGGTGGTGGTGAGGGGGGTCCAAAGGAAGCACCAAGTGTAGTGACACACCCCTTTTCCCCTCTACCCACTTCTGTTCTTGGGAAGCAGAGACAGGTAAATCTGTTAGTTGAAGGCCAGCCTAGTCTACCTAGTGAGTTCCAGGACAGCCAAAGGTATAGAGTGAGACTCTGACCCATAAAAATAAAGAAAAGAGAGGAGGGAGAAGGGGCAGGTTAGTAAAGGTGTAGTTTGAGTGGCTTTCTATTTTAATTGATGGATAACCACTTCCTCTACTGGGCATGTCCTGATGTCCACAATGCATCTGATTTTAGTCACATGCACACCTAATTATAATAGGCATACAACAGTGAGTAGGG